GTCCGGTTGTGTACTCGAACAGGTCGCAAGGTCTAAGCTTGTCTTGTGGAGGGTGGGGTGGGGCGTAAGTGGAAAAGAATAGAGAATGTACCAACATGGTAGTCCCTCCCATCAAAACTCCATATCTCGAAAGACAACCCACATCATAGCGCCCTCCAGCGGCAAGGGATCGAGAACTCTCTCGACGTACGCCGGCCAGTCATCGGTCCACTGCAATAGGGGGAAGATATGAGCGTATTCCCAGTACGAAGGATACCATCCCGCCGTTTCCCAGTCCACCAGAGCCGCTACTTCATACTCCTCTTCCTTGGTGACGGGACTCACGGCCTTTCGGACAAGAACATTCTCTCGGTAGAGATCTCCGTGGGTGAACACGGGCGGATGATCGCGAAGTGCTGATGGGAGGTGGCGAGCCAGATAGTCGGAGAGAACGCTGTGACTGTTGGATTCGCTCCACATATTATGGGAGCGTAGTGCGATGGCGCTTACAAACTCTTCTTCCGTCTGAAAAGGACCAGTGACCGCAGGGTCTTTCTCTCGAGAGAAGAAATACCGATGGGGGACGGGTCCCTGGTTGACACTGCCGTAGAACCCGGGCGATGGCAGCGCCCGCATTCGATCGAAGATGCATCGTAATTGTCCCGCAATCGACTGTTTGTCCGCCTCCGTGAGCGAAGGCCACGCCAGCCCTAGAGAGATGCTGGGAATGGATTCCATGATGAGATACAGCGTATCCTGATCGCGGTACATGGCATACAGGCGTGGTGCTGCAATGTTGAGTCGTTCTTCAACAAAGAGCAGAGCATACCCCTCATTTTCAGTCACAAGGGGGCCGTATTTCACGACAAAAGTGTCTCGGATTACGACCAAGCGCCCCCCATAATCGGATCGCTTGGGGAGGGTGCATGTTGCTTGTGCAATCTCGTTCTGGTCAGGAAGAGGCGCTGGCAATTCACCGGTGTCCCGATAATAAGGAAGGCAGAATGGCATAGTTGGAAGGGCGACTTCTCACTGAATGGAACCGAATGTTGGTAGGTTGGCAAGTTGTTTCAACGACTCTGGTTCACCGCCTAAGCTTGTGTGACCCACCATCCCTGACTGGAGCACTACTAGGCAGCTAGCTATACGGGTCTGCCTGATCCGGTCAAAGAGTGATTGAGCGTTAATTTCATACTGCAACCACTGAAGTCTAAAGCTGGTTTTGTGCTAAATGCTGGATGTAGACATAGATCTTGTTCTTGTGCCAAGGGACCAAGGAGTCAAGGACCCATTTTCCACCGCGTTGGGTCAACGGGTGGGGGGGGGGGGGGTGCTTGAGAAGCAAGATCTGCATCTCCACTGGAAGAGCAACTGAAGTGGAAGAACAGACGTTGTTAATACTCAGTGTGTATGCCAGTGAGCTAGCATCTGTCAACACGGCCGGGGTTCATATTCGCCATAATAAGCCTACCTAGTATTGTGTGCATCTTACTCGTACATAGTAATAGAGGTAGGACGAGTGCCGCCTGGAAATGACCACCCGCCAACCAATCGGCAGGATTCCAGTGCAACCAAGGCTTATTTTATCCGTGATTCGGGTCTGTGCTGCGGGTCCGGTTGTTCCAGGAGCTACAAATACCTCGTATCACACCCACTCCATCCTCAACTTATCTGTTAAGGAGGAGGACATTTACTACCTGTGATAGTGAGAGAACCAGGCCGTTTAGAGTTAATGATTACTTAATATATTGAATATCTAGAGAAGAGTATAGTCATAGTCCAAGTACTGAGCGTTCTCGACGACGATGCTATACTTGAAGTGATGTGGTGAATGATGTGGTGAATTTGTGGAGTGCCTGGCCTCCCATTGGCTGGGCAGCTCACCGCCTTCGGCCGGCGGTTAGATAGGTGTCCAGATAGCTTGAATCCATCTTTCTTCACGCTCTCCTCAGAATTTGATGAAAAAGACAATAATTCAAGCTGAAAGTGAATGTTAAAAGTAGAACTCGTTGTCATGAGTGCAAACCAGTTGACCAGATGGATGTGGTATGATTTTGACAGTGTTTTGTATGCACATGACGCTTAGTTATCGCACATGTAACGCTGCGTCGGGCGGAATGAGACGCTGGGGAACGGAATGTTTGCATTCGGAGCACATCTTCTTCCTCCGGCCACCTCGGCCTAGAACATTCAGAATATTCTTTTATCAATCAGATACGCCCAACCCTTCATCCTCGAGGCCAGTTTTCCAACCCTTCGATTGACCAAGCTGTACAAGCCAACCAAGCTGTACAAGCCAACCAAGCTGTACAAGCCAACCAAGCTGTACAAGCCAACCAAGCCAACCAAGCCAACCAAGCCAACCAAGCCACCAACCATGGGCTCCACCTCTCCCGCACTGTCACCAACAGAAGCAGCCCAGATTGTCGATGCCACGCTCGACAGCGTCTCCCAGCAACTCCGCGATCTAAACCACCAGGCAAGTCAACCCCATCCACTCCCCCAGTAGAACGACACTGACATCCAAGGCACAGATCTGGTCTCACCCCGAAGCCGCATTCACCGAACACCACGCCCTCGACATTCTCTGCACCTTCCTCGAGACGCAGCCACACCCATTCGTGGTCACCCGGCAGGCCTACGGGCTGGCCACGGCGTTTGAAGCGGTATCGGAAACCGCCCCGACCCAGAATGATACGAACCATGATGAGCCACCGACCACGATCAATTTCAACGCCGAGTACGACGCCCTCCCCGGGATCGGCCACGCGTGCGGCCACAACCTCATCGCGACGAGCAGCGTGGCCGCCTTCCTGGCGCTCTCTGCCCTGCTGCGGCACCGAAACATCCGAGGCCGGGCGCAGTTACTCGGCACTCCCGCCGAGGAGAACGGGGGAGGGAAGGTCAAGCTCCTCCGGGCGGGGGCGTATGACGGGGTCGCGGTTTCGTTGATGGGGTGTGTATTCCTGATCCCTAGTGCCCGTTCCTCTCCCGCGAGTGACAGACAGACAGACACTGACTACGAAATCAGACACGGAGGCCCCACCTCCCTGCCCTCCGACGGCGTAGCCGGAATGCCCATGACCGCGCGCCAACAACTCACGATCGAGTTCCGCGGGGCGGAGACGCACGCGGGCGCCACGCCGTGGGAGGGGCGCAACGCGCTCGACGCGCTGGTCAGCGCCTACAACAACGTGAGCCTGCTGCGGCAGCAGCTGCGGCCGGAGGAGCGCATCCACTGCGCCATCCTGGAGACGCCCACGGTCGCGAACGTGATCCCCGCGGCGACCAAAGCGTGCTGGCAGGTGCGGAGTCCGTCGCGGGCGGGCCTGCGCGCGCTGGTGAGCCGGGTCCGGCGCTGTGTGGAGGCCGGCGCCCTGGCGGCCGGGTGTGAGGCGGTGGCCGTCGAAGAGGACGATGGGGAGGCGTACACGGATGTGCTGCTGAATGAGACGCTGTGTCGGCGGTACCAGGCGCATATGAAGCGCTATGGGCGGGAGGTGGTGGTGAGAGCGGATGAGGTTCTGGCCGGGTCGACGGATGCGGGTACGCTTTCCCTCCCTACATTTAAAGTCTCACATTCTGGATTCTGGCTAGAGGATGCGGTGGGCAGGCTCATAAGGCGCGATCCAGTATGCTGAGTCGTTTGTCTTTCGTCACAGGGAATGTCAGCTATGTTCTGCCCACGCTGCACAGCTTCTTCTCCATCAACGCGCCCCCCGGGTGCGTCCCGCACCATCCCTCGTACACGGAAGCGGCGGGCACCGACATCGCCCACCAGGAGGCAATCCGGGTAGGCAAGGCCCTGGCTTTGCTTGGGTGGGACATGATCACGAATCCTGAGCTCTTGGAACAAGCGCGGGCGGAGTTGAGGGAGGGTCTTCTTAGGGCACAATAATCTACGACTACCAAGCCAGTTTACTTATACGTAACTTATTGTGCGGATAGCGTGACATCAATTGAGTAAATGAAAATTACCTACTTATCCCTTCGAGCACTCACAGTAAGCACGCTCATGACAAGAATCTGACCAGAACAAGCCAGTCAGGCATACTGAGATATATGCCTCAGTCACCTGACTCGGTCCAATTCACCCTAGCCATCCATCCACAAGTTCTCATCAATTTCTCGTCCCACCTCCAAGAAAGCAAGCAACCTGCCTATGAGCCCCCCCCCCCCCCAAGAACGTGCCTCAGAGATCAACATCAAACACAAAAGAAAAGTCCAACTAACCCCCCTCAATTCTCAATTCTCAAGCCCCCCGACCCGCGCCGCTAAATCCCGCAGGACAGGGGCGGCAAACACATCAGCGACACGCAATTGAATCCCCGTCGCCTTCCGGACCGCCGCCACCAACTCCATCGCCTTGACCGAGGTGCCTCCCAGCCCAAAGAAGTCCGAGCCTTGGCCCACGCGGCCCACCGGAACGTCGAGGACCCGGGCAAACGCTTGTTGGAGTTGGTGCTGGAGTTCAGTGGTTGGGGCCAGCGATTGACTTTCTTGTAACTTGCCCAGCGGCAGGGCAGCCATGAGCTGCCGGAGGCATGCGCGGTCGATGGCGCCGCAGCGGCCGGTCAAGGGGATGCGTCGGAGCGGGACGAAGAGCGTGGGGATCTTCCAGCGGGGCAGGGTCTGTTGCAGGGTACGGGCTGCGGTGATGAAGTCTGAAGATGCGCCGACGGTGCCGTCCTCCTCGTCGTCGTCGTCTTCGTCGTATAGCAAGTCGGTAGGGTCCGCCAACGTGCTGGAGCTCACTGTGTTCCCCGTGGCGAAGATGAAGGCGGCGAGCACAACCTCCCCATTGTCCTGCCTGATAGCTTCGACGCTGACCAGCCGTGCGGGACCCGGTAATAACGCGGCGAGGACGTGGGCTTCCGTCTCCGCGTGATTCACGCGGCGACCGAGGACTTTGGGGATCGGGTTCGCGTTGAGGCCCAGGAGCCGGATACGGCCGGTGCTGGTGTATTCGGCCAAATGGCCCGAACGGAATACATGGGTCTGGTTGCTGCGGGTCGGGAATCGAGACAGCCAGGGTGGCCGGGTGGCCAGTGCTTCGAATGCACCTTCGTCATGTTGAGGGAGGCTGAAGACCAGCTCCCCAACCGCGTTGAGCGGTGCGAGGTTGTTGGCGTTGTGAGGCTCCACAATCCACGCCCTGACCGGCGACCCTGGCGCATGTCCGAGGAGATTGGGGTCGGAGCGTTCAATCACCTTGGACATGCCCAGAAGGGTACCTGCGCCTGCAGCCGGGCGGTAGAGGTGCATGAGAGTCGTATTCTGCGCCCCCCACGTGTCGTGATCTGACGGGCAAATGGCCTCGCCGGCAAGCAGTAGGGTATTGAGCGATGGAGCGCCGCGAGGTAGGAGTAGACGGGCAATGGTTGGTGTCAGGATGGCCCACGTCGGCTTGAACGTGGCGAAAATGTGCGAGAGCTGCTCGACCCGAATGTCTTGTTCGCGTGGGATACAGAGACAAGCACCGACGGCCAGAGAGCCCAGCACTTCCATCACGCTGGTATCCTCCGCGGCGGAAGCCAAGTGCATTGCTCGATCGTGCGGGTGCAGGCCCAGGCCAGATGAGGACTCTACCATGGTAGGACAGAGAGTGCGAAGGTCTTTGCTGGTTATATTGAAGCTCTTGCTCGTCGAGCCGGGAGGGATGAAGATGGCGCATGAGAGGTTGGTCACAGCCGACCACGTCGGGGCAGCTGCTATCGGGGGTTCATCTTCGATTTCTTCGATAGTCAGGGCTTTCACGTCAGCCGGTTGAAAGGCTATATTAGCATCGTCACGGCTCGTTAACGCGACCTGGGCCTTTAATGTCTGGCACACTTCCGCCAGATATGTTAAGTGTTCTCGACTCAGCAGGCAAAATGCCGCCCCCGTCTTCACGATAGCCAGCATGGCCACCGGCGTCCATTTTCCCCGATCAAAACAGCATGGAACAAAGTCACCCGGTCCTATGCCGTTTGCCTTCAGTCGCGCGGCAAGGACGGACGAGAAGCAGTCCAGCTCACCAAAAGTGAGGGAGCCGTTCCAGGCATCCACCGCCAGCTTGTCAGCGTGGAGCTGACATTGCTGCTGCATCGCTTCGTAAAGACGATCGGGCTCGCCCAAGGTGGTACACTGATTCCAGCGTTCGACCTCCGGCGCATAGTGATCGCTGAAGAGCTCAACACCGCCGATAGTCTGGCTAGGCGTCTGGACAATGCTTGTCACCGCCACACTCAGCGCAGCCGCCACACTGGCAGCTTGCTCTTCGGTCATATAGCGTGCCCAATATCCGAGGAAGCATTCGAGGACGGGCTGGGCCGAAGAGACGAGAACAATCATGTCATGCTGCGCGCTCCCCCCCCCAGTCAGCAAGTATTAGTAGCCATTGAGGCAAAGAAGCGACGTAGCTTACCTCACTTGGGCCCTTGATGCCATGTAGCTTCAATCTAATGGAATCAGAGCCTTTGTGCTCCGCGTCCTCCTCCTGGTCGAAGTTTGGCAAGAAGTTGATGGCTGTGTTGAAGCCACAGTCCCCGACAAGATTCAGCGCATCAAACAGAGCAGGCAGATTGACCTGCTGATAGGAGAGTCCCGCAATGAACTCGGCTTGCATATCTTGCGCCGTCTGCTGCAAGGAAGTCTGCTGGTCAAACTGCACACGACAGATGAGGGTGTTGAGATAGGGGCCAACCGCCTCCTCCACCCCGTCCAGCGGCACGTCGCGCCCATTGGTTAGGTAGGTGAAGGCCACGTCGTTGGATTGCGTGAAGCTGCGCAACACGAGCGCCCATGCCAGCTTGAATAAACTCGCCACGGTCAGGCCGGTCTCGTGGCAAAATCGCTGATATCTATGCTGAATCGCCGCAAGACATACCGACGCCCTTCGCCCGCCGACTGGCTCTTCGGCACCTTCGGGTCGAAGCCGGGGGAAGATACAGGGGGGAACCCCTTGGAGGTACGACTTCCAGTATGCAAGCGTGGACTCTCTCAGGTGGCGCGAGAGATAGCGGGCGAATCTCGTGTACGAGGCTGCAGGCTCCACTAGGGCACGCTCTTTCGCTCCATCGCTGTTGTACAATCGGGTAAACGCTCGTCCAAGATTTGCTATGGAGGACGCATCCATCAGCGTATGGTGGATGTCGAGAACACAGTAGATTGGGCCGTCGTCGGGGGTCTGATAGACCTGGAACTTTGGGATCCAATCCATCCCTCCGCGCGGTGGCACAGGCGGTTCATCTGGCAGCGAAGTTGGCGAAAAGAGCATGACTAGACTATCTGCGACTCCCACGCCCGGCACGGTTTGCTTGAGGACCACCTGCAAGGCCAGCTTTCCCTCTGCGGCGACCTCAAAAAGGACAGTCCGGAGCGTTGGGTGCCGGGCGGATAGCCTGGACCAGGTGCGTCGCAAGCGTTCTATATCGACAGGATGGTGTGGTTGTGTTGCAGCTACTTCCCAGATCGCACGCGTGTGGTACATCTTGGCAAAGCGAGCATGACTGTACAACATGCCTTCCTGGACAGGGGAGCACCAACACACGTCTTCCACATCTGCACTGTGCAGTTTGATCTTGGCGAGCAAAGGCCGGAGGACTTCGACGTGGGGGTCCGCACTGGGCTCCTTCTCGCTGCCAGAGTCGTCTGACTGGCGCCTTGCCAGCAGCTGAGACAAATTTGCGATTGTTCTCTGCTGCAGGATATCTGCGACTGTGAGGGCGTACTGGTGCGGTCTGGAGAGGTTCACCACTCGCATGGCCGCTAAAGAGTCTCCTCCCAGTCTCAGGAAATCATGCTCGACCCCGAACTGCGTCGGGTCCAGGCTCAGAGCCTCTCCAAATAACGAATGAAGCTTCCTCTCTGTTTCCGAGACCGGCATGACCAATCTGGCCCCCTCCCCTTGGTAGGCTTCTAGTTCTTCGCGAGAATGCTGCTGCACCGCCTCACACAAACTCCGTCTCGCGACTTTGCCCGTCAAAGTGGAGGGCACCCGGGCCAACGGTAGATAGACACTAGGAAGCATGTAGCTGGGAAGAAGGGATTCCAGGCGTGCTCGGATACGTTTGACGTCCGAGAAGAAGTCCGGGCTCGCAGTCGCGAGCAACAGGGGGGCGCCTGCGCTGTCCGCCGCCTCCCTCTTCGGTTGATAATCCGACGAGTGGAGGAATAGTGCCACGATCGGAATCTCCTTGCCATTGGCAGGAATGGCTGACTCGGCGATCGTTTGGACCCCATCTCGACAGACCGTCCGCGCATGCGCCTCGATCTCGCCGAGGTCCAGTCGTTGGCCGCGTATCTTGACCATTGTTCCTTTCCGGCCGACATACTGAATGCTACCGTCTGCCGTGTAGCGGAACAAATCGCCTGTTTTATACATGCGTCCGGGAGTGGTCCCGTCGAGCTTTGCTTGCAGGTCGTGCCGCCACTTTGGAGCCTCGATGAACGCCGAGGCGGTTGCATCAGCGTTATCCAGATACCCCCACGCCAGGCTGGGCCCTTCAAGAAGTAGTTCGGCCACTACCCCGATGGGGGCCAGCTTCTGGTGGTTTGTAGGGTTGACCAGCCACTGGCGTACAATCAGCGATGGGGGAAAGGCTTTGAGGTCGCATCGCGGGGTCATAGATAGAGGACTGGGACACGGGAGCCCGGCGTGTTCACTCATCCCATAGGCCTGGATCAGCTGGACCTGACTTGTGGCCGTCCAGCGCTGGAAGTCCTGATCACTCATGCTTTCACCACCCAGAACCAGAGACCTTAGGCTCGAGGGCGGGGCGCTGGCATCCATGCGGCTCAGAAGCGACGGCGTCAACGCGGCCCAGCTTACCTGCATTTTCTGCATTGCTTCGGGCAGGTTGTTCGTCCGGTCGAACTCCGAGATCACGCAAAGGGTCGCACCGGTACTCAGAGTGTAGTAGGTTTCAACCACAGAAAGATTGAAGCTGTAGGCGGCAAATTGCAGGACCCGTGAGTCGGAACGGATGTCCCATGATGAAGCCTGCCGAGAAAGGTACATTAGGGCCTGTTGCTCCATCACCACGCCCTTGGGCAACCCCGTTGTGCCGGACGTGAAGAGAATATATGCCGGTGCTTCAGGATCGGTGTCGGGGTGGCCGGGGTCCGCGGTGACGGAGTCCCCGGCCAGTGTGCTGGGTATAGTGACCACGTTCTCGATCAGAGTAGAAGCCCGTCCCGAAAGGGCTTCGGACGAGAGAATGAATCTGGTCTTGATAATGCCCAGAATCGACCGCAGGCGGTCATCTGGATGCGACGACTCGAGAGGCACGAATGCAGCCCCAACCATCCAAATCGCAAGCTGGGCGACCGTCGTCCACACGCCCTTCTCTGTGAAAAGCGGAATCAAGTCTCTCGGGCGAAGTCCGGTGACCTGACGCAGGTAGCTAGCCATTCGAGCAGCCTGCTGCACCAGCTCTCTATACGTCAAATTCCCATCCCACGCGCAGATGGCGATTTTGTCGGGGTGTTCCGCAGCCCGCTCATGAATGATGTCCAGGATGGGCTTCAATCCTGGCCGTGATGGCCAATTCCGATTGTTGTTCCACCGCACAATGGCCGACTCATTTTCCGCACTGAGCAGGTCCAAGTCGTCGACTCTCCGGTCGGAGTGTGCGAGAACTTCCGAGATGGCTTGACTGACAGTGGAGGCGAGATGCCGAGCTTGGCCTTCAGACAATAGCGAGCTCTGAGAAAACAACAACACCTGCGAAGAGGCTACTGAACTGGCGGCTTCTTTTACAACCAGAAGAAGCTGGAAAAAGCCATTTCTCTGCAAGCTCTGGCACGTCGCAGCCGTCGCACCCAGCCATACGCAGGTGTTCAGCTTGCGGTCATTACCGGACGGTAATGGTGTCTCCCTGGCCATTCGCCGCGTGAAGTCATTGACAGTCTCATCCTTGGATATCGTGGTCTGATAGGTATGCATCTCGCAATCCTCCCCTTGCCCAAGGGCAAAGCACACCGTGTCGGAATCGACAAAGTGCTGGAGGACGATGGGCCAGGCGCTTCGTAGAATTGTTTCTATTGGGATCGCCTCTCTCTCCATGGTCGACACTCGGCTCATTGTGGATTTTGGCGAGTCCACAGGGACCTCATGCCAGGTCGTCGCCTCATCGTCACGAGGCGCACAAACCGAGGTCAGCGCCGGGAAGATCCCCATCGGCGCTGTCGCGTCTCCTTCCATCGTCGTTGTTCGAGGGCAACCGTGGGTAGTTCTAAGGGGTATAGAGAACCATGCCCTGAATAAAGGATTTTGGGAAAGCTTTCCTGAACACGATCAAGTCAAATGTGATCTGCACAAGATGGTGAACGGAGTGAAAACCAGATCAACACGCAAGGCCCACTTGGATGATATGCAAGGGACAGAAGCTCCTCGGGGGGCTGTCCTTCCCCCCCCCTTTCTTTCGACCCTTTAGCTGGGGTCCAGAGTGGGGGGAATCTCTGAATGCGGTGCGCTGTAGTGAACCAGTTTCGACGTCGGTCATCGACCTGTATTGAATCTACCACGGAGTCAGCAACCACGGTCGAGGTCGAGTGAGGGTTACCGCTTTCAGCCCTGATGTGGTCGAGGTTGCAGTGGGGCTCCGCTTGACAGACACCTGTCATCTTCACCATTGCAAACTACGACGAGTAATTGGGCAAACACGACTCATCTGATCATTCTGACAACATGTTCAGCTTTTGTCAATCATTCATAGATTCAACCAAACTCGACGCGATCTTTGAATGACGCTGAGTCGATCAAAATGGAAGATCGGCCGTATATAACGTGCAGCATTTCGATGCAAGCACACAAGGCAGAGTAGGAACTGAGACTTCTTATTGATTAACTTACTACATCTCTTTCTTGACAAATCATCACATCATCACATTCATTGAAGACCACTATGACCCACAAATTGCCGAGCTTCCCCATCAAGGGAATATCCGACAAGAGCGATGTCCAGCCAAGGCAGGACTTGGCTGCTTGGTCCAGCTCCACCAATGTGGAGAGTAAGGTACAAGTTTCCCTCTTCCTCCGGGCGCTGGACAAGCTCCAGAAGAGAGACCCCGTGAATGATCAGCTCTCCTATTTTCGACTTGCCGGTATGTCCTCCCGCCCCTCCCTCAGGATAGCGTAACACATGGGTTAATGAACTGGACATTTAGGAATTCATGGTGCGCCCAGCCAGGCCTGGGACCATGCTCCAGATCCCGAGCAAGACTTTAAGGGGACCGGCGGATACTGCCATCACAATGATTATTTGTTTCCCACCTGGCATCGTCCGTACATGCTGCTCTATGAGGTATTTGCTGAGATTACCCGGCAACGATCAACGCAAAGTATCATGTCACTGATGACTGAATCACTCTAAATCAGCAATGTTTGCACCATATAATGATCCACGAAGTGATCCCAGAAATCACGGATGCCCGTGCCAAGAAGCACTGGACCGAGGCTGCGAACTGCTGGCGTCTCCCTTACTGGGACTGGGCGATCAAACAACCCGACACCAACGAATACGGCCTCCCTAAAATCTTGTCGGACGAGGTTTTTGAGATTCTGGAGCTGGGATCCCGCACCAAGATTGATCCGAATTTCGGTGATAACCCGATGTTCAAATTCGTGAACCGAGTAAGGAATTCACAGGACAAACTGGTGCCCACCCCCATGGGAGATCCGGTGATGGGAAAGTATGCGATCAAATTTGAGGGAACTAAGCTCGGGGATATTCCAGTCAAGGTGAGCATTGGGATTCCTTTTTATTAAGTTCGTACCCGAGACATCCAACACTCTGCTAATGCGTCGTCGTATAGTTTGGCGAAGCAGCCGGCACCAGCCGCTATGCGGATAGCACCGACCAACAGCAATGGGTGCCAGGCTATGACCTCAACGAGAAGGTTGGGGAGGCGATCGTCAAGCACCAGTGGATGGGCGAGGATCCCAGCACTACGACGATACAGGCGGTGGTCTCGCGTCTACTAAGTGACTCATACTTTCAAGAGTACGAGCCATTTGCTTCGACCAGATATTCCCAGACGCATCCCGCCGAACACGTCAAGAACGTGTTGCCAACGGAGCATCTGTCCCTGGAGATGGTGCATAACAACATCCACGAGTGGTCGGGAGGATCACAGCGGGATGACGCTGGTGTACCCACCCAAGGGCATATGGCGAATGTCCCGGTGTCCTCATTTGATCCGGTCTTCTGGATGCATCACTGGTATGATTCTCCTCCTTCCATTCTGAAGCCAGGATCAAGTCGTCTGATCGTCTTCCAGCAACGTGGATCGTCTCCTAGCGATCTGGCAGTACCTCAACCCCGATAAATGGCTGAATGAAGCTGATGGGCTGTCACAAAACCTGGAACCCTTTTCCACGGATCATCACAGAACTCCTTGGAACTCCGTCCTCGCCAGACCGTGGGAGCAGTATGGCTACAGTTATCCGGAGCTGGCGGGCAACCCCAAGCGGGAGGATCTCATCCAGGCCATCCAAGCGAAATACGGCGCGCCTGTAAAGCAACTGCGGCCTGCGCAAGGCAAACACTCGCTACCGGGGATCAGTCATGAGACATTCCAGGACTACATCATCAACCTCATCTATGATCGGTGAGTTGCTCTACTTTCAGGGCTGGACCCTTGATCCCCCAGATGGCTAATGCTCCTTGTCGCAGCAACGCCTTGGACGGATACCCGTACAAAATCAGCTTCGCCCTCCTGGTTGATGAGCGAACCCACCTCCCCGTCGGCGAGGTCTACAACTTCAGCACCCCGCTAGACTCCGATTGTGGCAACTGCCAGACTCAAAAGAAGGAAGGCGTGCTCTCCAAAGCCCAGGTGCCGATCACGCTGCACCTGCACGAAGCAGTGCGTCGCCACAGCGGGGTTATCCGCGCGGTGAACTACACCCCTGATGACGAGCCGGGCTTGCGGCCGGAGTACATGCAGCATTTCCTCGAGGGGGCGCTGATCTGGACGGTGACGACGGTATGTAGCGGATGCCTCCTTTTCCTTTTCGGCCTTTACTTCTCTTGACCTGGCTAACACGATATTATGACAATGACAGAATGGCGGACAAGTGATTGAGCTGGATGACTTTCCTGGTCTGGAGGTCACCGTGCTGACTGCAGAGGCGCAGTTTAGCGAAACGCACGCGGCACGTTACCAGCCTAACAAATACGAGATCTTGCACCGGGCGACTCATGGCAAGCCCAAGGGAAGACGGCATCCACACCATCGAGAGCTTTGAGGTTGCACTAGACTACTTCTTTGGTGTGAACTAGAAATTAATCATAACCATTTGTTCTGGAGTCGGAATACTTTGTTGGTACTGTACTGTATTGTATTATATCATGCTGTAAGACAGCATGTAATGTAACGATGTAACATACCGGTGGTGACACAGGACCGAATCTTGACATTCCAGGTTAAGTTACGGGAAAGGCTGTTGCGGGCCGGGCCTGATCTTCGCCCTCGGGGTGTAAAAGCCGCTTGTTGTTGTCTACAGCACAAAGGAGCTCAGGCGTACGAAGATTTCTCTATTCTCGCTAATTCTATATCAGAAATTGAAGAGAACGGGAGGCACATTTGCCAATTGCCGACTTTAACAGCGCAGAATAAAAAAAAAAAAACCAAGCATAGCTTTGTAGACGGGGAGGCGGGATGGAATGTCATGTTTCGGGGTTAGGGCTAATGATGCGAGGCGGTCCGGTATGAGCGGCGGCATTCACGACTCAGGCCTAGAAACAGAACAGACTCGACGGAGCATTCCTACTCTTTGTTGCAGTTGTTGCAGCTCCGCGGAGTTACTGCCCGCGTTCCCTAGATCTAGCCATTCGACTGGACTGAGTCATTGCATCTGCCACGGAAACTCTGTGTGGAGGAAAAGCCGTGATCATGGAACCTGCTGCCTTGCTGGTTGCGTCGAGAATGCTGGCACTGACGCAAGACGAACTGCTCGCTGCATTTGAGCGTGACAAATAATTCAGGACAGGATGATTGGCGGAGACTGGAGGAGGGTCACCCAGGTCACCCAGCAGCGGTACGGTCAGACCTTGCACGCAAGCAGACAATGTGAAACCTCCATGTCGGAGCTGACAGCACATCGTAGTGCTTACATCATAAAGTTAAGAAGAAAAGGATTCCAGACTCGGAGGGTCAATGCGGCATTTCGCAGAGGCTATGGATAGAATCGCGAGCTTGACAGGCCCATGGCTGCGGGAAACTTGGGCAGACCCTCTCCACTACATCTTCATCGCACAGTAGACCTGCGGTGGAGCTCCAATGTCAATTACACCACCACTCAAGTATAGGTGATGCAAGCATACGCAGCAGTCTGAATCATGCAGCGGTGCACCTTACAAGAGTGGTCGATTCTGTCCAAGAAGATCGGCATGATAGACGCCCGTTCCAGCCATCTCCCCTTCCCTTTACATACTCTAATCACAGTCGAGGTTATCGGCAGAAATGGCGTATCCACTGCTACCTGTTGGCGCCACTGGCGCGGTTTATGTCAGGAAGCATTATCCGGCCCTTCTCAAGGATATCATCCGGGACTGCACCGACAGCATCAACGCGCTGAACCTGTTCAACGAGCTTGTCTCGGCCCCGGATGGCATCGCCCCGGACTCTCCAGGCTTCAAGGAGTTCGACGCCCATGGCGGCGACATGGCGTGCCACATCCGCGCCGGAATGCTGCACGAGCTCTACGACAAGCATCGGGCCTATTTCCTGGAGACCGGGCATGAGTTCCTGGGAGATCCCGTCGTCCACTACTACATGACGCAGTTTGAAACTGTGCGGTCCCGCGCCCAGCACGCCTGCGTCCAGCTCACCAAGCACAACACCGACCCGGAGAAGCTCGGGTTCGAGCGCAAGCGCGACACCCTCCTGCACGTCGTGCAGGTGCTCGGGTGGGAGAATGAGAAAGGTGGTAGTGGTGGCGGACCGTTTGATTTCCTTCCCCCCTCTGGAAACAGCTCTCCTACTACCACCAGCCCCGGAGGCGAGAGCATGCCCAGCTCCACGGGGATGCG